ACAATTAAAGTATACAATTAAAAACATGTTAAGGAGTAAGTGAGAATTATCAATTTTATGTTAAAAATGAAAAAAATATAAAAAATTACATTTAATATTACTTATATTTGCACTTATTTTATATCAACTCACAATAATGTTTGATTAAAAATTCTGTAATTCTTATGTGCGAAACCTCCAATGCTACTACGCAAATTATACTATTAGTGTCAAATTTAATCTAATTTAAATCGCCACTGCTCCTATTCAATATATCGTTATTTTATATTGTTTTAGAACAATTAAATTAATTATATAATGTTAAATTTAACCCAATGTGAACTGCTTAACTCTGTTGCTTTATTATAAAATAACGATATATTGAGTAGGAGCAGTTGCGACTCAAATTAGATTAAATTTGACACTACAGATTTAATAATGTATACGAAAAATAATACAATATTGATAAAAATAAGAATAAAAACCTATAAAAAAAGAATTTAGGTTGAAGTGCTTTTATGCACATGTACACATAAAATATGTATAGAATGATAAGCAGAATGGTAATTGTATTTGGTAGATGTTCGATCTGGCAAAAGATAGAGCGGTAGAATATGTTAAATAAGAACAAATGTACGCATTTGAGTGAGCTTGAACGATAAGGAAGTTGAATTAAAGATTTCATCATTATCGGTATTTTTAATTTGGAATTGATGAGTCTATCGACATCGATCAAGTCGCGCCGGCATCTCTTTAATAATTCAGAAGATATCGAAAGAGCAGTGAGAATCGACCGCTCATAAAACACAAACGTATGATGACATCTAAATTAAGATATGCAGAAGATATATCGATTTATATGCGCGTTGCATTAATGCAAACTTTTACGACAGCGCCCACTATTGCCTCGCAATAAATTGTAACTTCGTTATCATAAGTATCGTTCCTTTTTTTTATATGTGCCATAAATATTATGCTATCAAAATTAATGCGCGTGCATATGCATGCGAATGAGTTTTTGTAGTCGTTAATGTAATACCTTTTATTTGTACGCGATTCTTGCTGAATGTAAAAGTATCGTGTAACGTTAATAAAAATCATGACACATGCGATATATTATTATCGCGCGAATACAACTTTGTATAGCTTTACTGTTTATTTACGAAGAATGATAAATATTAAACTTTTTCATATATATCTTGCACCTTTAAAAATAGAAAGTTGTTTTCAATAAATATTTTTATGTTTACATAACTCACATATTTTTATCGCATGTATCTTTATATACGATGGATCACATTTACAAAGTCAGACAGATGCGTGCTTACACTGACATTGAGAGAGTAAAATGATTGCAATTACTATAATTTAACTATAATTTACAGTCATTTTTGGGATAATTATATAGTTGTTTTAATCATGCATATATAGTCAATAATTGTATGCTAATAATAAATACACACTGCTTGACATCTTTAGTTTTTCTTAACATTTTTTTAGTTATTATTATCACACAAATAGTAAGTAAATTTTTAAGAAAATAATTTTATTCACTTTGATTTCGATTATACTTATTAAATAAAAATGTTTATTTTAGTACAATTTTTCATGTATGAGAGAACTACACATAAAAAATGATCGTTGTAGTAGTAATAATCATAAAAATAAAGCACCTAACCATAATTATTTCATCATGCAATTATAATCACAAATATCAAATATTTTTCTCTCACTATTGCATATATTAAACACATGGTGTGGAACACGGAATTAAGAAACAATTTTGCTGAAGTTTAAAAATTTAGTTAAAGATTTAAAAATATTGGACAAAATACATAGGGAATGCCCAAGATGGTTGTTTGAATAGCAAAACTTTTGCAACCTTGCTCATCATGCTTAAGTTTTTTACATAATTATTATAATCAAACAAAATTATTTTCAGATCTATATCTAGCTAAATTTTTAGATACTTCAATAAAATCGTTGTTTCCATATACGGAAAGATTCGTGTAATTAGAGCCACGCTAAGAAAAAACTCACGAGACAACGCTGTTATTCATGCGTCAGAACAATAAAGGACAACTGAATGAACGACCAAGAAATATATGGTCTAGGTGAAAGCGCGGGAGTTAACCGTTTTGAAGATAAGTCTCTTGCAGGCAACGTTCGAATTGTTCCACCCACGCCAGTCGCGCATAAAACGTTCGTAGAAATGAGCGAGAGAAGCCTCTAGTCGCGCAAAGCAATGATGCAGCAGATGGATGAGCCGGTTCGATTCATAAGACTCATAAGATCGAAGAAACGAGACAAGACAAATACCGGTTAATTGGGAATCTGTTAAGATGGATGGATATCTTATTATCTGGCATGCGGTACTGTCTAATACGAGAGGATCGCACAGTTGATGCATGAACTAGAGAGACAGAAAGATTAGGTGAATGGCAATCAAAGTACATTATGGGCATTAACAAATATGGCTTGGGCCGTCGCGACGCCCATGATTAATCGAGCTCGAGAAAATCGCCGCGTCGGAATGCATTGCCGACATAAAATGTTACCGACCACGTGGTCACAGTCTTGACTCGCCAGAACCAGTCACGAATAATGATATCAAAACGAATGGTCACGAAAGGTCAAAATCCCGAACATCGAACTTCATGAACTTCAGATGGTATAATTTATGTTCATTATAAATCCGCAGGTCATTATCGTTATTAGTAGAACAGTTACTTAGCACTTTACAGTTTATGAATTGACTATTATCAGATGTTTATTTAAACATTTCTTTTGATTGTCAAATTATTACATATTTAGAATTTCGAATGAGAAATATCCTTTATATATAAAATTTCTAATATAAAGTTTATATTGTTATACATATAATAAATCTGAGATTACTATTTACTTATATAAAAGTATTATCTAAAATATGGCAGACTATAGACAGATATATAATATAACGAGATAAAAACAGTTGTACAATATAGAAAGAAAGTAAAAATTGGAAAACATGATTCTCTGTACTTTTAATAATCCTCTATAATCTGTAGCAGCAAATCCTGTAATTAAGGCGAATTTCGGGAACCGGATCGCTCGCAATTGAAACTCGTGCTTTACGAGGACGAGCCCACCGCTCTGATACCTTCCGGGCTGAAAATGAATTATGCAAGTGATGGCGCAGATCGAAAATTATGGTAACATCTCACTTGAAGCAAATATACCCGGCAGATTCTCTACCTTGTGATCAGGCTCAGGATTGAAAGTGAAATTCGTTTGACGATTGTTATGTATGTTTAATGAAATAAGCATTATATTTATCAGTAATCATTTTCTTTTTTCCGAAACTGTCACGAATTAATTCAGTTATTAGTTAATTAGCTAATTTTATGTTGTATGGAGAGGTATCTCATAGTCCATTCTTATTTTGAGACTATCTTAAGTAATGCCTTAAGATATTAATACCCTTTGATTGACTTATGACATCTTAAGACCGTACTTAAAACAAATTAATTAAGAATAAGAATCGACTATGAATATCGACTATAAATATTTTTTTCAGATTTTTATAGTTTGGAACAATATAAAAATTTGCGCTAAAGTTGGAAAATTCCGTTGTGAACAAAAGATGAAAATTTCACATTGCCAACAAAAGATTAAATTACAGTAAAAAAGAAATATCCTCAAAAGTTAATCCTCAATTCTTATTTTAATCCGGATAGAACAAAGAAAGAAACTTTGAGTTTTGTCGAATTTCCAGGACTAAAAGCGATTGGAAAGTCTTTAAATTCGCATTAAGAAACTCAATACTCGAATTTCGAATTGCGAATATCGTATATAAAGGAGGGAATACTTTTATTAAAGTATCTAAAAAATTTAGCTATAGATATAGATCTAAAAATAACTTTGTTTTTGGATTATCAAAATAATTATTTAGGATCCTCAAACTGATTGCTGGAATGTCAAAACTTTTTGTAGCATTGCCCTTCATGCTTGACTAAACATTTGAATGAAATTATTTCACTTAACATTTAACAGCTATAAGTAGATTCTTTTTTCAGTGTAGCTAAATTTTTAGATATTTCAGCTGTCCTTTATGTGTACACTTATGAAGTTCTCGAAATAACATACAGAGATCGCAGAATGTTTGGCAGACAGGTACTTCAATTTTCAATGTAACAAATGTTTCCGTGCAGGCTAACTGTATTGAACTCGATCGAAATTCACTAATAATTCAGCTTGAAGCTAGTTTGGTTACCTAGCATGAATCTCAAATAGCACTGCAGTGATACAATCTCGCATTGATAAAATTCAAATTATTGAAAAAATTCATACACACTTCTTACTATAATGTGAATGTAGAAATATATACTTTCTAATATATAAAATCAAATAAAACCTAAGATAAACTATTTTCACTTTCCCTGCTTGTATGTTGTTCTAATTAATCAATTAAGAGAGAGAATTTATTTATTGCAGTCTGCCGGCAATGTTAAACTTTAAAGACACAGTCGATATTCTGAAACTATAATGTGAATTTTGAATGAGAATAGATAAATTTAAATTCGTAAGAAAAAAATAAGTAAGATATAATCTAACTTCTATTAGTAAAAATTTGTTGTGTTGAATTGTGCTTCCACAGATATGTAAAATTTTTTTCAGATTTTTATAGTCTGGAACAATATAAAAATTTGCACTAAAGTTGCAGGAAAATTCCCGGTTGTGAATAAAAGAATGAAAGATGAAAATTTCACATTGCCAACGAAAGATTAAATTACAATAAAAAAGAAATATAGTTGATTCTCAATTCTTATCTTAATTCGGATAAAACAAAGAAACTTTGAGATTTGTCGAATTTCCAGGACTAAAAGCGATTGGAAAGCCTTTAAATCCGCATTAAAACGAAACTCAATGCTCCGTTGCGAATACTGCCGACGTTAGCGATTACGGACATACGTCGTAGACTTGTCGTAATGTTCACTTGAGCCAAGGGGAAGACGTATAAATTATGGAGGTGCCGATACTTGATAAATCTATCGGCAGGTGATAGACGAGTCGAGGTGGCGCAGGTCGGCCATGTACCAAGCCGTCCAAGCGCATCCTAGCAATAGGTTGCAGCGCATGCTGTTCCCTTGCATGCCGCACCTTCACCGTCTTCAGGTGAGACATGCTGAACGACAGCAAAGTCCCTTGATTCGCTCCTTCTTCCGCGCACGTTGACTATCCCTGTCCTGTGGCTCTGGTGATTGCGGGAACCCACAGGTCAATTCCGAGGCTCGATTACGCGTATCGATGACTATTAGGCGCGGTTTATTCATAGCTCAGCTGGCTCTGTCTGTCTCGGTCGTAGTTCACTGCATCGCGATAACCTCTTGCCTGCCGTCACCCATCAGACTAGGAAGTGGCGGTGGGACAGGTGACAGCTGATTACAAGGGAAATGAAAGAATGTTGATCTGAGAAAATTTTTCGCGGGACTTTAGCTTGAAAATGTAATCAATTAATGTAATAATAAGAAGGATTATTACATCTATATTTCAGAATTATCCCTTCTACAAAATTATAATGGAATTTAGTTTTTTCAAGGACTATAATTTTGAAATATAGCTTTTCCATAATTTTTTTAAAGTATATAGGCATATTAAATATATGTGTGTGTGTGTGTGTGTGTGTGTGTGTGTGTGTGTGTGTGTGTGTGTATGTGTGTGTGTGTGTGTGTATAAAATATATTAAATAAGCTTTACAATTAAAAATCTGAAGAAAGAAAATCATGCAAAATATGTTTATCATTTATTCTTAGTCTATCAAATTCTCTTCTCTCTTTTTGACCATATCACAAAGAATGGTTTTGCTGAAGTATCTAAGATTTAGTTAAATATAGATACAGATCTGAAAATTATGTTTGGATCACCAAAATAATTATAAAGGATGCTTAAACTGCTAGAAGATTAAAACTTTTGTAATATTGTCATCAATGTTTAATTAAACATTCTACATACTTATTTTGATTCGATGAAAATCATTTTCAGATACTTTAGCAAAATTATTCTTTCCGTCAATCAGAAAAAAGAAATCGTTATCAAATCACTTAAGATATCTGAAAATTGTTCGATTATTTGAAAGCAATTTGTACACTTCAAGGTGTAACGATTGCACAAGCGTTTTTTTAAGTAAGTATTCCTTCGAGACAGTTAATCTTTAGCTAAAGAAATCTCTCATTGTACATATATTCAAATCATGATCGCGCTCGCTTTATCGTCGATATCCAGATGGTGTATCATTCATGCGAAAGGTTGCACAGACAACAACGTATTGGAATAACGTATGCTGAAGATTCAATTCTTATGTCACGGAAATCTACACACAAAGTATCATTGGTTATTATAAATATCATTCACAGTAATGAACTGATTTCAACGCTGATTAACCTTTCGAATATTCTTTTTTGTACAAGAAAAAAAAATAGGATTTGCGGATATCTTAAGTTTAATTTTACAATTACATCATTATGTTCACTAAAGTCAAAATGTCAAATGTCTGAATAATCGTCTAGCGATCTCATCTGGATAAATTTACCCACATGTTTAGTATAATAACGAAGCCTTCTTTCAATTTTCAAGCATATGCGATATCTTCTAATTTTATCTAACTGTATCCATAAACGTAATAGGTATAGACTGCGCAGTCTCTGATCTTAGCACCTGTACTCCGTTAGAAAGAATATCATTCTTGAATTCTTCATCAGCGTCTCTTTTCACTCTATAACATCTTAAATTCGATACTCGAGAGAAAGCGAGCGAGCGAGAGAGAGAGAGAGAGAGAGAGAGAGAGAGAGAGAGAGATTATGATTCAAGCTACTTCACTCTTTTTAAACCGACAACTTCATAGGAATGTGCAGTCTATTCTTATTACATCCATGCCTGTAGCGCGTCTCTTTCGCAAACGTCTCATTTAGCTCATCTGGCTTTCAATTGCGCAACGAAAATGAGAAACAGCCGTTTAATCTACCGCCAGAAAAATTATGAAGTCTTCAGACTGCGCGGCGTTGTCGCAGGTGTTTAATCTTCGCGAGAACTAGCGCAGGCGTGTTTCACCTGTGTGCTGAACCGAGAAGAAGAGGAAGAAGAAGAAAACATGGAGGAAGGTGCGCAGAGAAGAGCACGCGCACGGCATATGGATTTCTCCTCGGTACGGCGGGCGTGCGGTCAATAAATTTGCAATTTTTCCGCGCGCGCGGTCGGCTCTTCCCATCACCCTACGCCCGCGTCCGCAACCATTCCGCGGGACTTTCTTCCACTTTTTTTCTTTCTCTCTCTTTTAGACGATGCATATACATGACGCGAGTTGCGAGAAACTGCCGCGCGACCCAGGAAAAGGGACGGCGGGCCGCGATTACACGAATAATAAATTAACGTGCACGACCTTATCGAGGCGTATAATTCATCACGAGGGTTACATGCGCGCGCGACCTGACTCCGCAACGCGCGCGTATTTACGCCGCGCCGTGCGCCTGCCGCCGAGACCCGATATGGCGGTTTTGCACATTAACCGCGTAAAACTCTAATGGCACCCGACCCCTTACACCTGTAATACGTACGGCACGGCGGGCGATGTGAAAGTTCGGAGCACGGAAGGAGGCTGAGCCGGGACAAGGTAAACGCTCGTTAGGCTCCGAAGACGCGCGCATCGTTAGAGGAACGATGTATTTCCCGGTCTACTTGGAATACTCTTCTGTCAGAGGTAATGACTTTTCACAAAGAATACGCTGTAATGATATTAACCCTTGACTTGCGACGTTAATACCGCTTTCTTCTATTAATCTATTATATTTCCATATGCCACGCACGAGGAGTGCGAAGATACTCGTCATACTATCAATCAAGAGACGACGTCTTAACTTCAAACTAAATGAATGCTTATAAATAATATCGAATAACAATAAAGAAATGAAAGACAAAAAGACTAAATCGATACCACTTATGCTGATAGTTAAGGATTAATGATTGCAAAATAGTAAAAAAGATTTTGTTAAAAATATCATCGTATGAATGATTGTAAATAAATTAACGAATATATGTATAGTATAAAGAGAAAAAGGTGTTTGGTATGTGTATGACTATAATTGTTTAGTAAAACAATTGTAGCTATAAAAAATATATTAGAACCGAAAATGATATTATAAATAATAGTCATTTTGGATTTTCTTTGATATAAAAACTAAGTACAATTATAATATTATATTAACAGCAGTAATAACTAAAAATGTAACTCCTAACCATTAATTATTTTATCATACAATTATAGTTATAAATACCAAAATACCTCTTAGAGAATCAATTAGAGAATCTCTGAATTCTAAGAGATAAAGCGATAAAATAAAGAAAATATAGAACTGAAATAACTTTGTGACAATTGTTAAAGATATATTCAAAATACATACACTTATATATAGCTAAAATGTACATTTTGCTGAAGATTTAAATCCGGATCATAATGTTTCTCTTTCATTCAGTGATATTATCAAGCCAATCTTTTACGAGAAAAATTAGACTGCGGTTGATGTAACAAAATCAACATAATTCGCTGCAGTCGTGTAGCAGAAAACGAGTGTTATCGATGTACATAAATAGCAATTCGACTGGGAAATAAATTCTGCAATGAATTTTACCGCGGTCATAATGTCCAAAAATAGAAATAGCCACACATAGCGCAATCACACTCTATCTTATTCCGCGTTTCATTAGACAGACGTTTTGAAATATCGATCGATGTCACAGTTAGCATTCGGTAACGTTATTCCGAAATCTAAGGCATATAAATTTCCTAGAAATAAACTTTATTCTGAATACTTTTACATATACAAGAAAATTATTTACAAATAGATATATCTACAATTTTTTTTTGGAAGTTTACTAATTTATTTATTAGAAAATTGTTAACTGAATATGATAAATTCGAATAAGTAGAATTTGCTATGTTATTTGCTTATATTTCTTTGTCAGTAGATTTTGAATTTAGTAGAGAAAAAAATAATATTTTGCTGAAATATCTAGAAAAATTTAGGTATTCTCTAAATTTGAATCAGTGGATAGTCATTAATTATCCAATAACATATTTGGCACTGGATAATCAGTGAAATTCAACTAAAGAAGGAAGAATGTTAGAGTATATAATTAAAATACTTAATATTTGCAAATTAATTTCAATCTTCCAATATCATATTCATAAAATTTATGCACTAAAACAAGGTTTGTTAAATCACATAATAAAGATTGGGTTAAGAGTATAAATACAGATCTGAAAATAATTTTATTGGACTATCAAAATAATTACGTAGAAATCTCAAGCGTGATGAGTATTGCAAAAAGTTTTGATATATTTTAGCAACCCAGTTTTAAACGTCCTACATAATTATTTTAATAACCCAACAATATTATTTTCAGATCTGTCTAGTTAAATTATTAAATACTTCAATAAAACCATCCTTTCCGTACATAATTAGAATCATCGATATCGAATCACTCATCAATTTCTATAGAACGTTTTGCGATAGTGTGCACAGTCAATCTTGCTTATTATCAGTCGTCAATAGTAATAGTCAAGTTAAGAACAAAGGGGAATCAAAAACTTTCGCAATTCATCTCATGCGGCCTATCTTAATGTGCTCGTGACCGATCCGAAGTGCCTCGACCTTTCTGTTCATAATCGCAACGATGATATTAAACACAATGTCAACATACATCTCGTGATGCTTTTCCGTCCGCCTGTTGTCATTTATGGCTTTAGAGGAGAAGTGAGATTGCACAACGGTGTATCCATGATATTCCGTCACGTCGCGAGCTAACGAGGCGTGCGATATGGGTGAGGGATAATTAATTAATGTTCGACGAGGATTGACGTGGAGTACCGGCAATACTGTCGACCACGTTCAAACGCACTCTGACAGGACTTTCTTAAGAATCATCGCGATACGCCTTTCTTTGAACGTACTTGTGGAAATTTAGTTTTGAATAAGTCTGAATGAGTCTGACCGACATATCGTCGCAATTAAACATCGAGCGAGCAAATAAAATTATGAGAATGATACGTGCAAAATTAAGAAGCTGTTTAAAGTCCGATATATAAATTGGAGAAAGAATATCTTCACTGAGAAAAATTTGATTGGATTAAT